TGTGTGTGTGTGGTTTTTGTGTGTGTGTGTGTGTTGGGTGTGTGTGTGTGAGTATGAGTGTTGTGTGTGTATGGTGTGTGTGTGTGTTTGGGGTGTGGTGGTGTGTTGAGTGGGGGTGCGTGTGTGTGTATGAGTTTTGTGTTGGTGGGGGTGTGTGTGTGTGTGTGTGGTGGGGTGTGTGTGTGTGTGTGTGTGTTGTGTGTGTGTGTTTTTGTGTGTGTGTGTATGTATTTGTATGTGTGTGTGTGTGTGTGGGTGTGTGTGTGTGTGTGTGTGTTGTGTGTGTGTGTGTGTTTAATTTGTGTGTGTGTATGAATTTGTTTGTGTGAGTCGTGTGTTGTGTGTGTTGGTGTGTGTGTGTGGTGTGTTTATGTGTGTGTGTGTATGAATTTGTATGGTGTGTGTGTGTGTGTGTGTGTGTGTGTGTGTGTGTGTGATGTGTGTGTGTGTTGTGTGTGTTTATGTTGTGTGTGGTGTATGAATTTGTATGTGTGTGTGTGTGTGTGTGTTTGTGTGTGTGTGTGGGTGTTTAGTGTGTGTGTGTACTGAATTTGTATGTGTGTGTGTGTGTGTGTGTGTGTGTGGACTCAACAATCTACATTTGCACCAATAACTCACTACAGTTGTGACGGTGTGTGGAATAAGTGTGTGCTCATTACTCTAGTAATTTGTTCATGATTGCAGCATGTATAAAACGTTAAGTAACCATTATTACAGTATTCATTTACCTTTGTAACGTGAGTTATTACCTTTGTAACATGTGAGTTTCATTATTTGTACCTAGTTCAGCCATTCAAACTTTGGAGCCCGCGTCCCTGACCCATTGTGTACCTCATGTAATTCTGGTAAAAACCTTTGTAACTTGTCATGATTGTGATCTAGACCTACCTGGAGTTCAGACCTTTGTAATTGTGAGTTCATTACCTTGTAAATATAAAAAAAAATTTGGTTGAATTTCTTTACCTCTGTAACTTGTCTGCTATCAAAACTTTGAGGCCAGGTCCCTGGACCCTTTATGTATACCTCTGTAATTTTTTGACTACCGCCCACAGGATGGGTTATGGGGTGCATAATAAACTATTAAACTAACTAAAACTAGGCAAATGCCTAGTTTGTCTATGTGGTTAATCCAGCCCTGACCCAACAGTCTTGTGAGGAGGGGCTGAGCCCTGATGGAAGGGCTAGTGGGACTATCACTTCTCATTATTCTTTCAAACAGCTTTATTAAAAACCATATGTGTACAAGGCGTCACTAGGCGTCACCGGGTGAGCCTGGTGTACACGTACAATATTATAAAGTATTGTAAACGTACAATAACTGGTGTTTGGTCACAGCAAGAAGGTTAGGATAATTGACCTGCGTCGCAGTGTGTTCAGGTCACAGGTTGTGACTAATCCAGTCACAGGTAAACAAGGGCACAGCAAGAGGGACCAGGACAGTGAAGGTGCGTTACTCAGGTCCCTGACGTCACCATGACTCACTATGTGTTGTCAAGCTGTGGTCAGCTAAGTGGGACCAGGAGTGAAGTGCGTTACCAGGTCCCTGACGTCACTTGATTCACTAATGTGTGTCAATGCTGAGGTCAGCAAGTGGGACCAGGATGCGAAGTGTGCGTTACTCAGGTCCTGACGCACTTGACTTCAGTAAACCACCTTGAACATCTCACAATATCTTCTGCTTAAGAACAAAGAAACAAGTGATATATGAAACACAAGTGTAAAGTGATGTAGATGTTCAGTGTTACACTCAAGTGTAAGTGTTATACTGGAAGTGTGTTGTGTCAGTGTTACACTCAAGTGTAAGTTTACCACTGGGAAGTGTGTTGTGTCAGTGTTAAACTCAAGTGTAAGTGTATACTGAGGGAAGGGAAGTGTGTTGTGTCAGTGTACACTCAAGTGTAAGTTGTACAACGGGAAGTGTGTTGAGACAGTGTTACACTCATAGTGTAAGTTGTATACTGGGGAATGAGTGTGTTGTGTCAGTGTGTTACACTCAAGTGTAAGTGTATACTGAGGGAAGATGGTGTTGTGGTTCAGTGTTACCCCTCAAGTGTATGTGTACACTGGGGAAGTGTGTAGTGTCTGTGTTACACTCATGTGTATGTTGTTACTGGGGAAGTGTGTTGTGTCAGTGTTACACTCCAAGTGTAACGTGTATACTGAGGGAAGTGTGTTGTGTCAGTGTTACTCTCAAGTGTAAGTGTACAATGGGGAAGTGTTGTGGTGTCAGTGTTACACTCAAGTGTAAGTGTATACTGAGGGAAGTGTGTTCGTGTCAGTGTTACCTCATGTGTAAGTGTACACTGGGGAAGTGTGTTGGGTCAGTGTTTTACACTCAAGTGTAAGTGTCTACTGGGGAAAGTGTGTTGTGTCAGGTTACATCAAGGGTAAGTGTACAATGGGGAAGTGTGTTGTGTCAGTGTTACACTCAAGTGTAAGTGGTTATATACTGGGGAGTAAGTGTGTTGTGTCAGTTGTTACACTCAAAGTGTAAGGTGTTTACTGGGGAAAGTGTGTTGTGTCAGTGGTACACTCAAGTGTTAGTGTAATGCTGGAGGGAAGGGTGTTGTGTCAGTGTTACACTCAAGTTATAAGTGTTTACTGAGGGAAGGTGTGTTGTGTCAGTGTTACACTCAAGTGTAAGTGTATTACTGGGGTAAGTTAGTGTTGTGTCTGTGGTTACACTCAAGTGGTATGTGTATATGGGGAAGTGTGTTGTGTCAGAGTTACATCAAGTGTAGTGTATACTGAGGTGGAGTGTGTTGTGTCAGTGTTACACTCAAGTGTAAGTGTTTTGGGGGGAAGTGTGTTGTGTCAGTGTTACACTCAATGTGTAAGTGTATTACTGGGGTATGTGGGTTGTGTCAGTGTTACAATCAAGTGTAAGTGTATATGGGGTAGTGTGTTGTTGCAGTGTTTACACGCATGTGTATATGTGTATACTGGGGGAAGTGTGTTGTGTCAGTGTTACACTCACAGTGTAAGTGTATACTGTGGTAAGGTGTTGTGTCAGTGTTACACTCAAGTGTAAGTGTATACTGGGGAAGTTGTTGTTGTCAGTGTTAAACTCACAAGTGGAGTGTATACTGGGGAAGTGTGTTGTGTCAGTGTTTACACTCAAGTGTTTAAGGGTATACTGGTGAGTGTGTTGTGTCTGTGTTACACTCATGTGGTTAAGTGTATACTGAGGGAAGTGTGTTGTGTCCAGTGTTACACTCAAGTTGTAAGTGTATCTGGGGACGTGTGTTGTGTCAGTGTACACTCAAGTGTAAGTGTTATACTGAGGGAAGTGTGTTGTGTCGTGTTAATAACTCAAGTGTAAGTGTATACTGGGGGGGGGGGGGGAAGTGTGTTGTGTCAGTGTTACACTCAAGTGTAAGTGTATACTGGGGTAAGTGTGTTGTGTCAGTGTTACACTCACGTGTAAGTGTTATACTGCCCGGTAAGTGTGTTTGTGTTCAGTGTTACACTCAAGTGTTAGTGTTAACTGAGGGGAAGTGTGTTGTGTCAGTGTTACACTCAAGGGTAAGGGTATTACTGGGGAAGTGTGTTGTGGTCTGTGTTACACTCAAGTGTAAGTGTACACTGGGGTAATCTCTCTCAACTGTAAGGAAGATAAGATATGGTATACGTTGGGATTTTTAACCCGCGGTGAGTTACCACCCAGGATAAGCCATGAATAGTCAGTGCGTCATCGAGGGTCTGGTCTAAACTTATTTCATTGGGGTCTTTAATCTTGTCCCCATGATGCCACCACCCCAGTCACTAACACCCAGGTACCTATTTGCTTGACTGGGTGAACAGGACAACAGGTGTTAAGGAAACGTGTCGAATGTTTTCCACCCACCGCCGGGAATCGAACCCCGGGGCCTAGTGTGTGAAGCGGAGAGCTTTAGCCCAGGCCACCGGGCCCCACCAGGCCACGGGCCACCGGGCCACACCAGGCCACCGGGCCAGGATACCAGGAGTTGTATTAAAGTGACAGAGGGGATTATATGACATCATATAGCAGAGATTTTAATGACATCATCATAGCTGTGGGATATAATGTACATCCATCATAGCAGGGGATACAGTGACACAACATAGCGAGGGTTACATTGCATACATACATAGCAGTGGATTAACATATGACATCAACCATGGGACAGGGGATTACAGTGGCCATCAAATAGCAGAAAGATTAAAGGACTTCATATAGCAGGGGATTACAATGACTCAAAAATGACAGGGGATTACAATAACATCAACATTGCAGGGGATGTACAATGACATCAATATAGCAGGGGATTACTGTGACATCATACATGACAGGGGATTACAATGAATCAACATAACAGGGGAGTACATTGACATTCAACATAGCAGGGGATTACAATGACATATATAGCAGGGGGATTACAGTGGAATCACATATCAGGGGGGATTACAATGACATCAACATAACAGGGGATTACAATGACATCAACATAGAGGGATTAACAAATGACATCAATATAGCAGGGGATTACTGTGACATCAACATAACAGGGGTTACATTGACTTTAACATAGCAGGGGATTTCAATGACATCAAATATAGCAGGGGATTACAGTGACATCAAACATAACAAGGGGATTTACAATGAACATTAAAACATAGCTGGGGATTACAATGACAATCAATATAGCAGGGGATTACTATGACATCAATATAGCAGGGATTTACAGTGTCATCAACATAACAGGGGGATGATACAATGACATAACATGCAGGGGATTACAATGACATCAAACATGCCAGGGGATTACAATGACATCAATATAAAGCAGTGGGATACAGTGACATTTCAAACATAATGGGGATTACAATGACATCTACATAGCAGGGGAATTACAATGACATCAATATAAGCCAGGGGATAACTGTGACAGCAACATAACAAGGGATTTCAATGCCATCAACATATACAGGGGATTACAATGACATCATATAGCAGGGATTCCAGTGGACATTCAACATAACAGGGGATTACAATGACATCAACATAACAGTGACATTAACATGACAGAAGGTTAGAGTGAGGTTACAGAGAGGTTAGAGTGAGGTTACAGAGGGGTTAGAGTGAGGTTACAGAGGGGTTAGAGTGAGGTTACAGAGGGGTTAGAGTGAGGTTACAGAGAGGTTAGAGTGAGGTTAACTTAGGGGTCTAAATATAACAAAGACCTTCGTTCTGGTGGCACCATTCTGGTTGTATTCGCTCTGGTAATACACCTCGCTGTAGCAGTCTCTGACGCTGGTGTATAAACCTGTGTTCAGCTTCTGACCAGTCAGTGAGTGGGTTAGACCACAACCTCTCTGCTAGTGCTGCTCCCCGTGGCCACACCTGGTGTATACATATTATTATTACACACACACAAGCACCGGATAATAATATCACATGTACATATGGTCTTGTGACCATAGCTGACATCAATGACATACTACTATATAGGAAGTCCCTTGCTATGCACAGTATGTCCCGCTGATTAGGTCAGTTTTATCCAAGGGATGCGACCCACACCAATCCACTAACACCCAAGTTCCTATTTTACTGATGGGTGAACATAGACAGCAGGTGTCTTATTGAAACACGTCTTAATACTTTCCAGCCGTACCAGGGATTAGATCCCCGGACCTCAGTGTGTGAGCTGAGTGAGTTAGTGATCCAGCTACGGGATACCTTAACATATACATAATATACACACACATACATAGTCTGTCAAGTCTAAATAATAATAACTGACCTTAGCGTCGAGGGAAGCTTCGTCGACCTGTTCGCTCCAGAGTGCCGCTTCACCGCCCAGAATCAGGTCCTTGTGGGCAGACCCGGTCAGGTTTAGGGCTATGTCGTGGGGGTTGTTGTCGTAGACCTTCTGCCAGCCCTTGTAAGGGCTACACCAGTTGTGTCCAGCACCAACCCAGGCACCAACACCACAGTCCAGGTACCAGGCGTCGTAGTTACTGAAGATCACTTGGTAATTCTTGTTAAGGAGTTCAGCGATCAGCGGGTCCTCCCCGGTGGACCAGATCTGGATGATGTACTGAGTATTGTTGAGGTACTGGTCCACTCGGCCCTTCTCAGTCAGGTGTGAGGTCCACACGATGCCTGGGACTTCAACATCGTTGTTGGCTGACGTCAGCAGCTGACGTGACTTCTCCTGGAAGACGCTCCACTGACGGTAGTAGTCGTCAGCGCTGAGGTTACGGTTGTTAAACTTCATCCATGATGTCATCTCCGTCGTTGTGTTCCAGCAGTTCAAGTTAACCTGACAACAACACCAACAACTTATCTTAATTAATTTTCAGTTTAGCTTTCCCTCTAGCTTTCCCTCTAGCTTTCTCTTTAGCTTTCCCTCTAGCTTTCCATCTAGCTTTCTCTTTAGCTTTCCCTCTAGTTTTCCCTCTAGCTTTCTCTTTAGCTTTCCCTCTAGCTTTCCCTCTAGCTTTCTCTTTAGCTTTCCCTCTAGCTTTCCCTCTAGCTTTCTCTTTAGCTTTCCCTCTAGCTTTCCCTCTAGCTTTCTCTTTAGCTTTCCCTCTAGCTTTCCCTCTAGCTTTCTCTTTAGCTTTCACTAGTTTGCTTAACTGTAATCCGACAGTCACCCACTATACCTTACACACAGCATCTGTGGTGTACAGCTGCAGCCAGACCTAGGTCTTCCATCTGGCAGGCTTGGCTCTACCCTAGGTCTTCCATCTGGCAGGCTTGGCTCTACCCTAGGTCTTCCATCTGGCAGGCTTGGCTCTACCCTAGGTCTTCCATCTGGCGGCTTGGCCTCTACCCTAGGTCTTCCATTGGCAGGCTTGGCTCTACCCTAGGTTTTCCCATCTGGCAGGCTTGGCTCTACCCTAGGTCTTCCATCTGCAGGTTTGGCTCTACCCTAGGCCCTTCCATCGGGCTGGGCTTGGCTTCCCCTAGGTCTTCCATCTGGCAGCCCTGGGTCTACCCAAGAACTTCCATCTGGGGCCTGGGTCTACCCCAGGAGTTCCATCTAGCAGACTGGGTCTACCCCAGGGTTTCCCATCTGGCGGGACCTGGGTCTACCCAGGGTTCCATCTGGCAGACCTGGGTCACCCCAGGGTTTGATTCACCAGATGTATCTCACACACACCAGACACTAGTTGTCATAGCCACACACTGTTTCTCTGCCTCATACCCAGCTGACCCTAAAATTGACTCTGAAAGAAAAAATTCGGTTGGGAGAAACATGTGGGTACATGTAGGGTACATGAGGGTTTACATGTAGGGTACGTGTAGGGTACACGTAGGGTACACATAGGGTACATGTAGGGTAACTTAGGGTACCGTAGGGTACAGTAGGGTACACGTAGGGTACATGTAGGGTACACGTAGGGTACACGTAGGGTACATGTAGGGAAATATGTAGGGTACTGTAGGGACATGTAGGGTACAGGGGGCAGTCGCAAGTTATTCCATCCCACAAATTATAGCAGAGAAGTTGTATATCTCTCCACTACACCATTCCGTTTGAACCTCTGAGGTTCACAGCAACAACGGTGACTAACACTAACGGTGACTATGGTACCATCACTGTACCTACCTCATCATCACCACTATGGTACCATCACTGTACGTGCCTGATCACCATCACTATGGTACCATAACTGTACCTACCTCATCATCACCACTATGGTACCATAACTGTACCTACCTCATCATCACCACTATGGTACCATAACTGTACCTACCTCATCACCACCACTATGGTACCATAACTGTACCTACCTCATCATCACCACTATGGTACCATAACTGTACCAAACCTCATCCCACCACTATGGTACCATAACTGTACCTACCTCATCACCCCACTATGGTACCATAACTGTACCTACCTCATATCCCCACTATGGTACCAAAAACTGTCCCTACCTCATCATCACCACTATGCTACCATCACTGTACCTACCTCATCATCACCACTATGGTACCATCACTGTACCTACCTCATCACCACCACTATGGTACCATAATGTCCCTACCTCATCCCCACCATAAGGGAAAGAGGCCCAGAGGAGTGAAGAGCTTGGCTATCTCCTGGTATATCTGTCCCGTACCAGGTAGATGTTGGGGTTGGCCAGGTTCAACTGGCCACACGGAGGTTCAACCAGTAAGACTGCCAGGTTCCTGTCACAAATCATACCCTTTTATGGGATTAAAAAAGGGGGGGTGGACATTTGGGAAAATTTTATTAGAAAAGTCCCATCTGGGAATCTTTATCGGAGTGTCACCCTCCCGGAGTTACTGGGTTTCCGGAGGAGTTTCGGGGGTCAACGCCCCCGCGGCCGGGCTGTGACCAGGCCTCCTGGTGGATCAGCGCCTGATCAACCAGGCTGTTGCTGCTGGCTGCACGCAAACCAACGTACGAGCCACAGCCCCGGCTGATCAGGAACTGTCTTTAGGTGCTTGTCCAGTGCCAGCTTTAAGACTGCCAGGGGTCTGTTGGTAATCCCCCTTATGTGTGCTGGGAGGCGTTGAAAAAGTCTCGGGCCCCTGACACTTATTGTATGGTCTCTTAACGTGCTAGTGACACCCCTGCTTTTCATTGGGGGGGATGGTGCATCGTCTGCCCAAATCTTTTGCTTTCGTAAGTGAGTGATTTTCTGTGGCAAGTTTGGTATAGTCCCTCTAGGATTTTCCAGGTGTATATAATCATGTATCTCTCCCTCCTGCGTTCCCGGGAATACAGTTTAGAAAACCCCAAGCGCTCCCAGTAATTGAGGTGTTTTATCTCCGTTATGCGCGCCGTGAAAGATTCTCTGTACATTTTCTAGGTCGGCAATTTCACCCGCCTTGAAAGGTGCTGTTTGAGTGCGCAATATTCCAGCCTAGATAGAACAAGGACCTGAAGAGTGTCATCATTGGGCTTGGCCTCCCTAGTTTTGAAGGTTCTCATTATCCCCTCCTGTCATTTTTCTAGCAGATGCGATTGATACAATGTTATGGTCCTTGAAGGTGAGGATCCTCCGACATAATCACTTTCCCAGGTCTTTGACGTTTGGGGTTTCGCTCTATTTTGTGGCCAAATTTGTTTTGTACTCTGATGAAGATTTAATTTCCTCATGTTTACCATATTGAGTAATTGAAATTTCTCATCGTTGAACTTCATATTGTTTTCTGCAGCCCCACTGAAAGATTTGGTTGATGTCGCCGGAGCCTTGCAGTGTCTGCATGGAAGCACTGTCATGCAGATTCGGGTGTCATTGCAAAGGAAGACACGGTGCTGTGGCTGACATCCTTGTCTATGTCGGATATGAGGATGAGGAACAAGATGGGAGCTAGTACTGTGCCTTGTGGGACAGGGGCTTTTCACCGTAGCTGCCTCGGACTTTACTCTGTTGACGACTACTCTCTGTGTTCTGTTAGTGAGGAAATTATAGATCCATCGACCGACTTTTCCTGTTATTCCTTTAGCGCGCATTTTGTGCGCTATTACGCCCATGGTCACAAATTGGGCCCAAGGCTTTTGCAAAGTTGTATATATTACATCTGCATTTTTTTGTCTTTCTAGTGCATTTTGGGGCCTTGTCGTAGTGATCCAGTAGTTGAGACAGACAGGAGCGACCTGTTTCTAAACCCATGTTGCCCTGGGTTTTTTGTAACTGATGGGTTTCTAGATGGGTGGTGATCTTGCTTCTTAGGACCCTTTCAAAGATTTTTATGATATGGGATGTTAGTGCTATTGGTCTGTAGTTCTTTGCTGTTGCTTTACTGCCCTTTGTGGAGTGGGGCTATGTCTGTTGTTTTTAGTTTAAATGAGGGACGACCCGTGTCCATGCTCCCTCTCCATGGATGGAAAAAGGCTGTGATAGGGGCTTCTTGCAGTTTTTTGATGAACACAGAGTTCCATGAGTCTGGCCCTGGGGCAGAGGGGCTGGGCATGTCATTTACGCCTGTTCGAAGTCATTTGGCGTCAGGATAAACATCGGATAGGCTTGTGTTAGTCAAATTTTGTGGCTCTCTCATAAAAAATTCATTTTGGTCTTCGACTCTCAGTCTGGTTAGCGGCTTGCTAAAAACTGAGTCATATTGGGACTTGAGTAGCTCACTCATTTCCTTGCTGTCATCTGTGTAGGACCATCTTGTTTAAGTAGGGGCCCAATACTGGACGTTGTTCTCGATTTTGATTTGGCATAGGAGAAGAAATACTTTGGGTTTCTTTCGATTTCATTTATGGCTTTTAGTTCTTCCCGCGATTCCTGACTCCTAAAGGATTCTTTTAGCTTAAGTTCGATGCTTGCTATTTCTCTGACCAGTGTCTCCCTGCGCATTTCAGATATATTGACCTCTTTTAGCCGCTCTGTTATTCTTTTCCGTCGCCTGTAAAGGGAGCGCCATGTCTCTTTCTATTTTACATCTACTCCTCCTTTTTCTTAGAGGAATAAGCCTTGTGCATACATCGAGTGCCACCGAGTTAATCTGTTCTAGGCATAAGTTTGGGTCTGTGTTGCTTAGTATATCTTCCCAGCTTATATCGGTTAGGACTTGGTTTACTTGGTCCCACTTTATGTTTTTGTTATTGAAGTTGAATTTGGTGAATGCTCCCTCATGACTAGTCTCATTTTGTCGGTCTGGGGTCCATGCATACATGTCTGAACCTCAATTATGTTGTGATCTGAGTTTTATTGTTTTTGATATGGTGACATTTCTTATCAGATCATCATTGTTAGTGAAGATGAGGTCTAGTGTATTCTCCAGTCTTGTAGGCTCTATTATTTGCTGGTTTAAATTGAATTTGTGCAGAGATTTAAAAGCTCGTGTGAGTGTGAGTTTTCATCAGAGCTGCCTCCTGGTGTTATTTCTGCAACAATATTATTTGCTATATTCCTCCATTTTAGGTGCCTTAAGTTGAAATCCCCCAGGAGCAAGATGTTGGGTGCAGGAGCTGGAAGATTTTCCAGACAGTGGTCAATTTTTAACAGCTGTTCCTGGAATTGCTGGGATGTTGCATCCGGAGGCTTGTAGACTACCACAATGACTAGGTTTTGGTTCTCGACCTTTACTGCTAAACTTCCACTACGTCATTTGAGGCATTAAGCAGTTCTGTGCAAACAAGTGACTCTGCAATTTTACAGGCCAAACCCCCCCCTTTTTTTTCCCTGTTCACTCTGTCACATCTTTTATGGTTTTGTAACCGGGGAAACCCATACTTCGTTGCCCAAGAGACCCCTTTAGGGTGGGTCTCAGGGGAAACCCGCGAACATTGCCTTTGCCTTTTCCCAAGCAGCCCCACGGTTTAAAAAGGGTTTTTTTTGGGTTTTTTTAGGGGGCTTTAGACCCTGATATTTGCAAAAAGAATGTTATCGGACTGGGGGTTAATTTTTTTTGGTACTGGGGGGGGTTTTTTTTTCCGGGCTTTATACTGAATCTTTTGGGTTTTTGGAGGGGAGGCCATCGACTGGGGTTTCCCACCCGGGAAATTGACTGGTTTTGGGTTGAAACGATTCGGGCCTTTTCCCCTGCCATTTTTTTTTTTTTTTTTTTTTCCTTCCGGGCACAAAAAAACCCTTTCTCCCTCTTGGGGGCCCTGTGGCTACCCGGGTTTTTCCCCGGGGCCTGGATGTTTTGTATCTTTTTCCCCCCTTTAGTTGGTATGCCGGGAAATTTACCCAGTACAAATTCCAGGACAGACGGGAAGGTTTTAAAAAGAAGAAACATATATGAAAGAAAAGGGTTTAATCAGTCCCTGAGTTTTGGGTGTTGGTGTGGGGAACACCATAGTTGGGGAAAGATCCGGGAAAAACAGGCAAGACATGGCCCCCCCCCCCCGTCTGCTACCCTTCATTTAACCCCCCTGCCCGCCAGTTTTAAAACCCCCAACCAGCCTTCTTCCCTTTGGAGGTTACCTGGGGGTTTCCCTGGAGGTTTTTTCCGGGGGTTTAAAACCCCCCCGCGGCCCCGGTCCAGGGACCAGGATCCCCGGGAATCTCCAGGATCTCCACAACTATGGTGTTCCTCACACCAACTCCAAAAATCAGGGACTGATTCCCCTTATTTTTCATATATAGTTTTTCTGTCTTCCAGTCATGCCCCGGGAATTTGTACTGATAAAGCCACTGGATGGTGACACGTAACGTTTAAAGAGCCCCAGATTTTGGGGACTTGCCCCTAGATTTTTAAACCCTTCTGGGTATTGTTTCCCGTTGTTTTTTGGGGCCGTTGTTTTTTTACCGTTGTTATTTACCTTTGTTTTTTTTACCGTTGTTGTGCCTCAATTTTTACAATTTAAAGACTTTTTAAATTCTATTTTAATTAGAAAGTTTTAAAGTTTAAAAACTTTCCAAGGGGAGGTAGACAGTCGGGACACTTGGGGTTTGACAGTAAAGACACAGCTGCGACACTTGAGGAACAGTCAGACCCCAGCTGCGCCCTTTTGGGGAAAACAGTCAGACAAAAGCTCGACACTTGAGGTAGACATTTCAGAACAGCGCGCCCAATTGAGGAAACCCGTCAGAAAACAGCTGCGAACTTGGGGTTTAGACATTTCAGAACAGCTGCGACACTTGAGGTGGGACAGCCAGACACGCTGCGACACTTAAAGGTAGACAGTCAGACCCGCTGCGACACTTGAGGAAAGGACAGTCAGACCCCACTGGACATTGGGGTAGACAGTCAGACACAGTGCGACATTGAGGTAGACAGTCAGACACAGCTCCCGACACTTGAGGTAAAACAGTCAGACACGCGCGCCATTGAGGTAGACAGTCAACACAGCTGGGGACATTTTGGGGTAGACAGTCAGACACAGCTGCGCCCACTTGGGGGTTGGGACAGTAAAGCCCATTTTTTGACATTGTTAAACAGTTAGACATTTTTGGGAAAACAAACTTTTAAACCCCCACAAAAATATCCCTTGGGTTCAGTCGAGACAGCAGCATTTGGGGTTAGGGGAAAGTTAAGAGGGGCCCAAAAATTAAGAGGTTGGAATCTAGAGGGACTTGCTTAACAGGGAAACCATTATGGCCCCCTGCATTGCCCCTGGATTTTGCCACTCATCTACTGGTTGCCCTCAAACCCGCTACTAAACCAA